GCCTGGCCCCCTGCCCCCTTACCCCCACCACAGCCCCATATGCGCCAGATGGTCCAGCTTAAATTTTGCCTGCAAATGACGCACACCTCCCCCACAGACACCCGGTTTGGGGACGGTACCAACCGCTTGCCCCCACAGCAGCTGGCACTGGGACTCGCACCCGCTCCAGTAGCTGACACCACAGGCCAGGGGTGCCTACAGCCCCAGTCCGACTCCACTTGCTGGCCCCAAACCCACCCACACTGGTCTCTCCAGCAGCTGGCACCTAGTCCTTGCAGCATACATCCACACAGGCTATGTGAGATTAATGGAGAAATAGTTAAGAAGGGATTTAAGGCGACGACAGGACAGAGAAGATAAGACAGATCAGGTGCAGGGCTCAGGCAGACAACGCTCTGGCCGGCCCTGTTTTACACACAACCCTTTTATACCCCTTTTCTGCCTACCCCCTCTTCATTCCTCCCTCCTCCTCTGCTTGCAGAGTCCCACCGACCCCCTCCAATGTCCTGGACCTGCAGGGTTACACCCTGACCAGCTGCAAAGTCCCGGTTGCCTGTAGCTCCTTGAGAGCCCATCAGTTAGTGGGACTGAGGAGGTTTGTCTCTCTCCCTTTCCATACCCTCCCAGCTGAAAAAATGAACGTTCTCCTGCTCGCCATACCCTTCCCAAGGAGTGCCGACCAGGTCCGTCCTCATCACCGTCCCTATCCCATGACCATGAGGGCTGGCTCACTGTGGTGCTGTTTACGGCTCCTCCGACCAGGTGCCCTTAGGGAAGCAGACCCCTCCATCCCCGTACGCTCCCACAGGGCTCCTGGACACTCCCAACAGCGCGTGCCAGGAGCCCACTGCGGCCGCCCAGGGCGCCCGACCTCCTGCGCGCTGGTGCCACCCAACACTCCCTGCTGAAACCAGCTGCGCAGCACCGTCCCCCTGGGGACCTCGATGCACCACGGGGTGCCCACGTGTCCTCCTCACAGAGGCCGCTTGTTGAGGTGCGATGCCCGCTGCTGTCAACACAGCCTGCGAGCATAGCTGGGGGCACGCGGCAGAGCCACCGAATTAACAAGAGCCCCCACACACCCTGGGGCACCCCAGGGCTGGCAGCCTGTGGCCCTCACCTTCAGCTCGGGGAGAAGAGGAGGAAAATCCTCCCCACCCCGTAGAAGCTGTTGCTGCGGCAAATGGTGGCGATGGCAGAGAAGGCACCAAAGGTGCAAGCCATCACCAAACAGGGGGGAAGGCTCCGACAAAGCTTGCCCACCCAGGAAGCCGCCGGGAACCACCCCTCTTCAGAGGCCTCTCGGCACTGCCTCACCCCTCGCCAACACACGTCCCGTGACTTCAGGCCCACTTCACATTTCTGCCAGTAGCGCTGGGGTAGGATCACGGAATGGCTGAGGTTGGCGGGGACCTCTGGCGAACATCTGGTCCAACCCCCTGCTCCATCAGGGCCACCCAGAGCTGCCCAGGACTGTGTCCAGGCTGCTTTTGAGTATCTCCACGGATGGAGACTCCACCGCCTCCCTGGGCAACCCGTGACAGTGCTTGGTCACCCTCACAGTGTAAAAGTGTTTCCTGATGTTCAGAGGGACCCTCCTGTGTGTCAGTTTGTGCCCATGGCCTCTGGTCCTGTCCCTGGGCACCACTGAGAACAGGCTGGCTCCATCCTCTCTGCACCCTCCCTCCAGGTATTTATAGGCACTGATGAGATCCCCCTAAGCTTGCTCTGCTCCAGGCTGAACAGTCCCAGCTCTCTCAGCCTCTCCTCGTAGCAGAGATGCTCCAGTCCCTTCATCACCTTCATGGCCCTTCGCTGGACTCTCTCCAGTATGTCCCTGTCTCTCTTGTACTGGGGAGCCCAGCACTGGACCCAGCACTCCAGGGGTGGCCTCACCAGTGCAGAGCAGAGGGGAAGGATCCTCTACCTGCTGGCAATATTTTGCCTAAGGCAGCCCAGGACACCATTGGCATACTTTGCTGCAAGAGCACGTTGTTGGCTCATGGTCAACTCATGTGGCCACCAGGACCCCTAGATCCTTTTCTGCCAAGCTGCTTCCCAGGTGGGTGGTCCCCAGCACATACTGGTGAATGAGGTTGACCCTCCCCCGAGGCAGGACTTTGCACTTCTCCTTGTTGAACTTCATTTCTCCATCCTGACGAGGTCCCTCTGGATGGCAGCCCAACCCTCTGGTGTATGAGCCACTCCTCCCCACTTGGTGTCATCTGCAAACTTGCTGAGGGTGGACCCTGTCCCATCATCCAGATCAGTAATGAAGACTACTGGGACCGGACCCAGTATTGACCCCTGGGGTGCACCACTAGTTACTGGCCTCCAACTAGATTTTGTGCCACTGATCAACCACCCTCTGGGCCCAGCCCTTCAGCCAGTTTTCAGTCCACCCCACCGTCTGCTCATCCAGACCATACTTCAGCAGCTTGTTAAGGTAGACAGCGTCTGCTGCTCTCCCCTCAGCTACCAGGCCAGTCATTTCATCACAGAAGCTGATCAGGTTGGTCAAGCACGACTTCACTTTTCCTTTTTCCCCTACGCAGTAGTTGGAGCGGTGCCTAAAGCCAAGCTGGCCCCTCTAAGTGTGCTGAAGTCAGAGGCCTGCCTGCTCTGCCCGGCCGTGGCAACGGCCATGTGGCTGCAGTTTCACCACAAGGCACGAGGAGAGGTTGGATCCTCCGTCTTGGCACAACCTCTATGAGCTCCCCCCCCCCACAGCCCCCTGGTCCCTGACGGCTGAGCTGGCTCCACTGCAGTTACCATTCACACTCCACTTGAGAAAACACAAATTAAGAAACCACCTCCTCAATCTGGAAGATCTGCACTTCCTCAGAGCAGCGTTTGTCCTTTAGAAATACATTTGGCTGTTTATAACTGTGCACTAAGACCTTTTTTAATAAAGTTCACACACTGCAATTCCTTAAAAGAATAGTAAAATCATTGTTTATAAATTTACTCTTAGTCCAGAAAGGCTCAGATTAACATGTTTGAGAAAAAGAAATGCTCTGTCTCAAAACTTAACATTAAGTACAAATTTTTGCTTAAGCATAAGCAAAAGATATTTCCAAAGTATAAAGTGCACCTTTTATAATGGATTCAGAACAAACCCAAGCAACAATAACAAAATTACATTATTCTGAACAATACTTGATTTTATGCACATACATAAGAGCGATAAATGCTTTCACTCTATGATGTTGTTTCTTGAAGCATAAGAAGTTCTGTAAAAGCTTTTAAAGAGGTCACAACCCCTTCTAATAGTTATCTGGTACAACTGCAGATCTGAAATACTGTTGAAGAC